TATATATATACGCTCATTGTGGGGGGTGCAGACTCTGGAGGGGCTCCTTCAGCCCAATCGCTATAATAAGCCAGATCTAGACATAAGTAAATAAAATATGTTGCGGCGTGCAGCCCGATCCCATAATAATAACCTCACAATCAAGCCCTCGGCCTCACTCAGTCATCACTCTCTCCAGTCTCTCGGACTCACAATGTTATGAAACTATCCCAAAAATGATAATATGGTGTATCAATAAATAATAACAGAGACTGAGATATGATATGAAATGAAGGAATATGACTGAGTATGAAATTTCAGTTTTAACAAATAATTCAACATCAATATGACTTCTATGGGTTTCAATAATACTGGCATATAGCCTTAGCATGATTTTTAACATGATTCTCAGCTCAATTTCTTTAACACATAAAACTACATGGATAATGCCAAGATTATTTGACAACACAATTATACGGAACCAATTACGTCATAATTTCTACGGTGCACGCCCACACGCCCGTCACCTAGCATTCGCGTCACCTTCAAACAATTCACATAACACGTATAATCAGGGTTCATACCCTCAGCTCCAAGATTAGAGATGTTACTTACCTCGAACAAGCCAAATCCAATACCGAGCAAGCAGTTCAATACTCCAGAAATTCCATTCCACGCGTATCAACCTCCATACGTCTTCATATCTCCTCAATTCAAGCCAAACGATTCGTATCTATTCAAACGACATGCAAATTAATCACAATTTACTCTAATGCTTATAATTTAACAATTTACAAAAAGATTCAACTTCGCTCGAAAATTCGATAGTGGGGTCCACATCTTGGAATCCGACTGAACTCATAAAATACGACAACCCATACAATTACGAGTCCAACCATACTAAAATTATCGAATTCCGACATCAGATTGACCTTCAAATCTTCATTTTACATTTTTGGAAGATTTTATAAAAATTTAATTTTTCTTGCATAAATTCACGGATTCATGATGTAAATGAATATGGAATCATGAAATATAATCAATATAGGATAAATAACACTTGCCCCAATATTTTTCCGTAAATATCGCCCAAAAATCGCCTAAATCGAGCTCCCCAAACTAAAAAGAGAAAAAATGGCAAACTTCCCCGTTTATGGGGGTTTTACGTCTGTGGCGCCACAGGTGGCGTGGGGCACTGCTTGTGGCACCCTTTCCAGTATCCCAAAAATTCCCAACGCCAGGGCTAGCGCCCCATGCTACCTTGGGCGCTGGTAGCGACGGAATATCGTTTCTGACACGGAAATGGGCATAACTCTCTCATACGATGTCCGAATTCGACGATTCTTTTTGCTATGGCTCCGTAATTTCAATACGAATATAATTCTTCAGTAAAAATTGAATTTGAAGCTCATTTACCTAATTTGATATCACGTGTTCTTGAAGAATCGATGAAGAAATATTTTTGGTTTGATGCCGAAACATAAGATATCATGTCCGATTGACCTCAAATTTTGCACACAAGTCATAAATGACATAACAGACCTATTCCAAATTTCTAGAATCAGATTTCGACCCCGATATTAAAAGATCAACTCCCCGATCAAACTTCCAATTTAAATTTTTTATTTTAGCCATTTCAAGCCTAATTTAACTACGAGCTTTCAAATAATTTTCCGGACACGCTCCTAAGTCAAAAATTACCATATGGAGCTGTTGGAATCATAAAAACTCTATTCCGAGGATTGCATAAAAGGAACAAATCAAAGGTCACTCACTGGAATATTCTGAATTACCCACAGTTATAAATGTCCATACTGACAAATCTAGCGGTTGTTTATTGCTTCAATAAGATTTTGGTCTTCTGAAAATCCTTTACCATTATTAACTAGATATTTAGTCATAGAGGAATATGATTTTCAGTATGATGTATTATAGAGCACAAATAAAAAATATATATGATTGAACAAGTCCAAAATTTAAAAAGTGCTAATATAAGCCTAAAGCAAAACTACTAAAGAAACAGGGGATATCATCAATATTTTTATTTGATAACTTAACTAGTGATAGCTCAATTTATTAACTTGATAACTTAACTAATGATAGCTCAAATTAGAATGGACCACTACTAGATACTCCCTCCGTCCCAATATTTTTGAAATTGTTTGACTAGGTACAGAGTTTAAGAAAAAAATTAAAACTTTTAGAATTTTTGGTCCTAAACAAGTCAGAATATTTGTATGGCTATAATTCTTTTGAAACTTATGGTTATAAACATGCTAGAGTATTTGTGTTGTTATAAAAATTTATCAATAAGGGTAGAATTGGATGTTAAAGATAAATAATTTTCAAATTTAGAAATGGTTAAGTTCACATAAACCGAAATTGATGGATTAATATAACAAAATAAGTACAAACTTCTGCTTTACCGCCACGTGTCACAGTCTTGTGATTTTAACAAATTACGCTGATATTGATGATTTTGAGTTAATTATTAATCAAATCCCATTTCTATGTCACAACCATTTTGAGCCATAAGTATTCTTCATCAAATTAATCTCCTCGAACCTTCCTTACTAATTTTATTGCCCCATTAAATTATCTTCTTTCTTCTTCTTCAATTCAAAGCTCTTTTTTCTAACTTTTCACTAAAACTTTTCAACTAATTCTCTTCTACTTTTTTTGGCGCTAGCACTTATTCTCCTCCATAGCCTTTTTCCTTTGAATCTCCTAAAAGAGTAATAGAAAAAAATATGAAACTCGGCTCATGGTGTAGAAAAGTTAGGAGAAAAAATGATTGAGAGAATTTTTATGTGTATTTCCATTGATTGATGACGGTGTATTTATACAAGTGTAGTATAAAACGATAAGAATAATCCTATGTACAGGTGTCTAAGAGGTATTTGAGCTATGCTATCAGACAAATAATTCTATACACCTAATGTACTAATTTTGTACAATAAAATTTTGATCGGACGGGCCGTAATAGATCCATCAAATAGTGAACCAAAAGCTGAGATAGCTCCACGTGTCCCTTACATATTTTGACTTGATACAGGATCTAAGTCTTTAGTTCTTGGTACTTTACCAATTGTATCTTTGTTCAAATCGACCAGAACCTTCGTCTTATTCCTTCTAACTTCTTCTTCCTTACTTAGTTTGTTGCGAGAGACTGTGAGCTGAGTATCAAAATTGATTATTAAATTTTTATCTTCAACATTCCCCCTCAAGTTGGAGGGGAGAGAAGCAACCCCCAACTTGCCGAGAATTGAGAGATGTGATGGCCTACACAAGGGTTTTGTGAATAAATCACCAAGTTGAGATGAAGATGGCACAAAGGAAAGAGATATCAAACCAGAGAGGAATTGTTGCCGAACAAAGTGGCAGTCAAGTTCCACATGTTTGGTCCTCTCATGGAAAACTGGGTTCCGATCTATGTGGATAGCGGCCTGGATATCAGAGTGAATCGGTACCGGAAGAGAGGGAGATGATCCTAGATATTTGAGTAATCGAGTCAACTAGGTGATTTCAGCAACGACTCTTCTCATGGATCGATATTCTGCTTCAGCGGAAGAGAGTGAAACTAAGACCTGCCTTTTTGATTTCCATAAGATAGGAGAGCCACTTCACTAAAGGGCCTTGCAACACACATCCAATCGCAGAAAAGATTAGGAGAAAATTATTCTGCTGACACAATCTCTGAACAGATATCAAAATGAATTTGAAACAAGGCACACAAAGAACATTTCTTAGAATGATTTTAGGATAAATGGATATATTTCCACTAATATATACCTTTACTTTATATGAATTAGGAAGAATCGCATTAACAGGATAAGGTCAGGTTCAAAAAAAATGGTTGAATCAAAAGACATGTGTTCAAATGCTCCTTAATCTAAGATCTAGGAGCTACCTTTAATGTATGTGAAACGAGATACTGGTTTTTTGAGTATTTTACCATCACAGTTGACAGCATTAACATTGATTTCTTAACCTGAAGTCCATGGTTGTCCAACTTTCACTTGTTGAAGAAGCTGAATAAGTTGAGTGAACTGTTCTTGTGAGAGTTGATGGTTCATAGTGTTTCCTTCAACCGCTATTGCGTTTTGTTCCCCTGCTTCACTCACGGAATAAGATGCATTACTTTTGGAAGGTCCATGAAACCTTTTTGACTTGGTGAATTTGAAGTCTGCTGGAAAACCACTGGTCCTGTAGCATTTATCCACTGAATGCCCAGGTTTATTTGCAATAAGAGCAATGGAGATTGTTCCTTTTTCCCTTGAAATCAGAATTTCCAATTTTCTGACTTGGGGGGTTCTGATTTGTAGCTAGGAAGGATGAAGAATCACCGAGGAATTGGGAGTTGACATAAACTTCTCTTTGCTTCTCATCCTGCATCAACATGGAGTAAGCATGTCCTATAATTGGCAAAGGGGATAACATCAAGATGCTGCTTCTCACAGAGGCATAAATATCATTCAACCCATGAGGAATTTGATAAGCCTATCATCTTGAAATGACTTAGCCATTTTGGCTTTTCCTCCGTAGTTACAGGCACAAGAACAGTTGACATGAGTGTTCAAGGTATCTAGTTCATCCCATAACCCTTTTATCTTAGTAAAATACCCTGCTATATCACTAGTACCCTAAATCAGGTCACTCAATTCTTTCTGTAAATGATACATTTTTGCACCATTTGACTGACCAAATCTGTCCTCTAAATCATCCCACAGGTCCTTGGCGGTCTTGGAGTAAATCACACTATGAGCAATTTCTCTTGACAGAGAGTTAAGTAGCCAAGAAATCACCATATCACACCTGCTCCACAACTTGAAGTCAGGTGTTTCTGGCCTAGGAGAAAGACAAGCTCCATCAATAAAGCCAATCTTATTTTTTGCAAAAAAAGCTATGAGAATGGACCCGCGCCATCCTCCATAACCTCTTCCATCAAAAGATGAGTTCACCAAGTTCATTCCAGGTGAATCAGAAGGGTGGAGGAAGTAGGGATGACTTGGGTCTTTCATACCATTCCCATTATTTTCAGAGGTGACCGTGTTTCCAGAAGTGACATCAGTGACCTCAGATGTGGACACCATTGGAGAATGAAAGCAAAGAGAAATTGAAAAAGAAAACGATTAGGATCTTCTCAGAGGTGCTGCTCTGATACCATGTAGAAAAGTTAGGAGAAAAAATGATTGAGAGAATTTTTCTGTGTATTTTCATTGATTGATGACTGTGTATTTATACAAGTGTAGTATAAAAGGATAAGAATAATTTTATGTATAGGTGTCTAAAAAGTATTTGAGCTATGCTCTCAGACAAATAATTTTATATACCTAATGTACTAATTTTGTACAATGAAAATTAGTGGTTGGTTGTGTCTTTATTAGCTCTACAGTAACTGTCTAACCTTTTGATCGGACGGATAGTAATAGATCCATCAAATAGTGAACCAAAAGCTGAGATTGCTCCATGTCTCCCTTTCATATTTTGACTTGATACACGATCTATGGACAAGAACCTTCCTCTTATTCCTTCTAACTTCTTCTTCCTTACTTAGTTTGCTGCGAGAGACTGTGAGCTAAGAATCAAAATTGATCATTGAATTTTTATCTTCAACACAAGGCAACAACATCAAACTCACGTAATTACGAATTGCTTCCTAATTTTTTCCCTTTTTTTTTGTTTCCTTAATTCACTGATGAGGAATTGCAGAGAAGTTGGGCTGAAATATTGTGTTTCGGTTGCACGTGCCTACAGCTTTTTTGGCCGCGAGTGGTGATGCGCAAATGGCTCAATATTAGTGCTAAGGATTCCGATTATAGTGCTGACCCTGACTCTGATTCCGGCTCCGGTTCCGATACCGAACAAGGTTAGTTTCGTCTTTTTCTTCTTAAGCAATTTTTATATGTATTATTGTTGTGCTGTACTATGTTCAATTTGATCTCTTCTTTTTGTAAGAAGTCGAATTCTTAGATTTGCTAATTATGCTGTGTGGTTTTATGTTGTAGAACTCTGTGAGTGGCCGAGGCAGTCGCGGTTGAACGATGCCAAAGGCATCCAAGTTGATATCAACGGTATTAGATTTGTTTGTAGCTCAATTTAGTTTCAGTTTTATCCAAATGCTCATTTTATGCTTTGGTAGATTTTTGTGCAGCTCGTACGATAAGCACCTTTTGTTTTGGTGATTTTCTAGTTGGAAGGGGTTTAGTCCTTATTGATTTTTAGCGTAGAATGGGACATGGATTTCTTAATCTTCTCAATGTAAAATGTACATGTGCAAGTCTCACTTTTTGATAGGCACTATTTTGTAAAAAGCATATGAAATAATTTTAGTAAAAAGAGTTTTTCTAAAAAAATATTTATACAAGGGGAGGAGAAGGGGAAATGGGGGAGGGAATTACAAGATGGGGAATCGAATCCGTACCAACAAGGTGAAAGTTCAGGTATCCAACCAACTGGACTACTAAGACTCCCGGGAAAAAAGTTTTGTTTGATCCGCAGATGGTAAATATTTCACATATGGGACAAAGGGAGTGCTAATTAAGAGCCTGTAAAGGATCTTATAGCCACAGTTGTTCTGAATTTGATGTTTAAGGGAAATGGAAAATAGAAGAGTACCGTAAGTAATGGTTTTTTGAATTCTCATATACATGGAAATACTCAGGGTTTAAACTTGTTTGAATTGCTTTTTATTCATGAATCTGGGTTCTTTGGTACGTCATCTTGAATGTTACCATTATTTTCTTATCTAAGTACTTCTATCCTACTTTCATTTCTATACTTTTATATTGTTTCTGATCTTTTGTATCTCAGATGCTCTTCCAAGGATAAGAAGACGAAAGTCAGAAACATTCAGGGCACAGTATATTAACACAAAAAAATTAAGTATGCATCATTTGCTTTGAATTTTTGATCCAAAAATACTGTTTCCGTATGGCCTGTACACCATTATATTTGTTTAGCCAGTAACATTACTGAGTTTGGTGCTTCAGGGGTATGCGTTGGCACGTGGAATGTTGCTGGAAATTTTCCTTCAGAAGATCTTGAACTTGATAGCTGGTTGGATGTTAATGAGCTTGCTGACATCTATGTGATTGGGAAAGCATCTCTCTTTGTATGTGACGTCCAGAAGTTCAATTTACGCATGAATAGTGGTGTACATTGCTCTTCACACAACATATGTAGTGCAAAATCGAACAGAAAGATTTTTGCACTAGCATGTCACCAGCAACTGCTTTCTTGTTTTTCTTTCTTGGGGGTGGTGGGGGGAGGTAGTAACAACCCTCTGTTAATGTCGAATGTTAAAGAGATGCTATTAAATTTTTGATCTAAACCGGGTCACACGGTTCATATATTTTAGCAATGATATTAAAAGTTAAATCTGCTGACCAGTTCTGCAACTAATTTCCTCTCCTCCAAATTTGAACTTTTACCTACTGTCAGGTTCACGACTTCATTGAGGATGCATGTCCCTTTAGATGGTAAAAATCCAATCTCATGTACACACATGCATCATCCAGACATCAGAAGTTAATTTGTTAATTTGATGTTATATTAAATTAACGACCCTTGTTTGCATAAACAGATTTCAGGAAGTTATACCATTAAATGCTGGCAATATCTTTGGTGCTGAAGATAGCTGCCCAATTTCAGTTTGGGAGGACATCATTCGCGAAAGTATGAATAAAGTCCCACCAGTGAATAAGTTTAAATCCTTTAGTGATTCTCCTTCACCATCAAGGTTTAAGCCATCTGAAGACGCCCCTGATATAGAAGAAGAATCGCCTTTGAATCTGACAGTGGTAGCGAGTNAACATCAACTCTTTATTCAACTTGTGACAAACTACACTGGACAGAAATAATCCAGACCTTACGTAAAAGTTGGTTACTTTCAATTTTGTGATAAAATTGCAGTACTTAGCAGGTTTTCCCTGCATGCTCGTCTTTAAAATAAAATTTGGATAATTTCATGTGCTTTACAAATTTGCTTTTACGCTTTTTGATGACACTATATACATTAATCCTAATATGGTAAGTGCTATTGAAACTCATCAGAATTTCATTTTCTTAAATGGAAAAATACATGTATTTTATTGCATTTCATTGCTAACTCTTTTATCCTTTTTTTCCCTTTTTTCCTGATAAGTGTTCACTCTGTTTTAAATTAGATGAGGTACTTTCCTATTTAGTCTGTTCCAAAAGAAATGACACATTTCTAAATTTGGAAATTATTCAACTTTAAACTCTTCATTTTACACATTTTACCTTAATGAGAAGTTTTTATAACCATACAAATGTCATGGCCTCACAAAACTTTTACAAAATAAGACTTTTGAAACTTGTGATCTTAAAACGGAGGGAGTAATAATTTTTCAAAGAAATGACCAGCAGGAAATTGTATATTACTCTTCTTTTATTCTTCTCTTTAGGGATCAGTATCTGTGAGCATGTCTATATATCAGACTTTCTTTTGCTTTGCCTGTACTCACCTAACATCGGGTGAGAAGGAGGCAGATGCAGTCAAAAGAAACAGTGATTCAGTCTATGAAATTCATCGACGGACACATTTCAATGCATTCTCTAGGATCGGACTTCCCAAGAGCATCCATGATCATGAGTGAGTGTATTTGCCTATTAAGCAAACATTTCTGTTATATCTACAAAATTTCTTTCTCTTTTATCAACCATGGATTTTCCCCCTCCATCAAGTTTGATTTAGTAAGTGTATTTGCATTTGTTTTTCTCTGTTTGTGACTTTCATCGGGTACAGTTCTAGGGAGAGTTCTCAAGGAAAACAATATGTTAGTCGATGTTGCAATTCTCCTTCTCTTTATAAATTGAATAGGAAAGTCGGTGGCTGGAACACAATTAAACAGAATAGAAGTATTCCCGACACCCCAGTGTTACAGTAATCCCACTCAGGCAACGTATTGAACAACTTATTGAAAAGATAGAGAAAGCCACGTACTGGAGAATTTAACTCAGTAATAGTGAAAAGAGGTCTCACTGATCCTGGTTATTTGGAAAGGATATTGTTTTTTGGAGGCATGGGGAAGGAAAAGATTTTAAATCCTGGAATAATTTATGTTTCCATCTCATCCACTGGCTGCCCCTGGTTCAGTGGTGCTCTAATGCTATATGGTGCACCTTGTCTTATCCTCATAGATTGCTATATGGTGCACCTAATCTTATCCTCGTAGATCTAACTCATTGTTCAATTTGGCAAACCCTTGTACAATTATCGGGGTCGTACCTTAGCAGTAATATCGCTTCAAGTGAGTTATGTTCCAGTTGTTCGGAAGTTGTTCACCGCTCATTGTCCCGAGTTTGTACGACCCTTTTCCGGTGATCTCGATAATCTGATATGGACCTTTCCAGTTTGGTCCCAGTTTTCCTTCGTTCGGATTCTGAGTGTTCAACGTGATCTAAACTCAAACAGGCATGGACGCGGTAGGTCCTTGGAACTAATTGATGAGCAGCTGGTTAATTCTTGCCATGTATATATCTCAAGCTTTAAGGTCAATCCTAGTAGGTTTATTATGCGTCCAACAACGTCCAGATGATAGACCAAGCATGTCTTCTGTCATTCTGATGTTGGCTAATGAGAGTTTACTGCCAAAAGCTAAAGAACTAGGATTTTTCAAAAAAAGAAACGTATTTGATAAAGCAAAATCAGGATCGCAGACAGCCAGTACAAACAATGAAGTCACAATCACATTGTTAGATCCTCGGTAATTATTTTGACTTGCGTGCACATGAATAGGAAAAATATGTTAGAACTTTGATTCTTGAGAAATACACTAGTATTTGAAATAAAATATCAAGTTGAATTTTTCTACTTGAAAATGTTATCTACTTGTGGTTGTGGATAAAATGTTCTCTATTTCTATTCTTCTTTGAATATATTCTTTAGATATGTTTCTTATATCACAAAAATTCAAAAGTGGTAAATTTGTTTCCTGAGCTATTAGCTATAACAATTTTATCGTGCAATTGGAAATCACATAAAATCAATATTAGTAATGAAAATTTTGCACATTGCAACTCCAGTTTTTAGTTAAAAGTATATAGAAAATGGTATAAAGTTGCCATGTCAGTTTGAAGCAGCCCTTTACCTTAACTTGTTTTCTTTTTGCATTTTTGAGACATACAGGAATTTTGCATCTTACTTAGTAAATGTAAACTCCAATAATAGTTTCAGAGCTTTTGAGTTTGTAATTTTTCTGTTCAGAGAATATAGCTCCCTATTTGCATCAAGAGCTTTAATAATTAAATATTTCACAAATTCCTTCTTAAATATTTTTAAAATGGAAAGATTTGCAATTAAGACAGTCACAATTGATTAAAATTTTAGGCAAGTTCATATGTTTTATCCTATACTTATTAGCATTGCTGATTTATTTTCTTATAACTAGTAACATGCCTATGTTAAATTTATTGAGTCAATGAGGATAATAACATAATATATTTTTTTATAATGGAGAAACCCCGGACGGCCAGCACCGCACAGTTCAAAACTAAGTTGCAATACGCCCATCTATCTATCCCCTCCACTTAAATACCATACTTTTGTCTGCAACAGAATCCGAACCTATAACATGTGTCTAACTCACAAAGCAGGCATAACGCTTTCACTAGTAGACCAAGGCTCTGAGAGTAATAATACGTAATATTTTCATCTTCAATTTGGAGTCAAAGTAGGGTCAAGTTTGCTATCTAAAAGAATGGTTATCCTCATATTTGTTCCTAACACTACTTAAGGAATTGAGCTTTTACCCGTAGACCAAGGCCTTGAGGACAATAATAACGTAATTAATATTCAAATATTCAATTTGGCGTCAAAGTAGGGTCAGGTTTGCCATCGAAAAGAATGGATATCCCCATAGATTAGCTCCTAACACTACTTCATAATAAATAGCTCTTTAACGTAAGTAACAGAGAAATATATATGGGAATTGACAAAGTGAAATGCGTAGCTCTTGGAGATATGTGGTTTAATTGATTATGCCATTTGTTTTTCAGTCCACTTGTGTACAAACAAGTCTATTATTTTTTCAATGAGTTTAAGTTTTATGCAGTGACAATGTGATATATATTCATACAATCAAACTACTTATAAGATAACTAATCTTAGGGTATGCGCGTGTCCCCTTAATCTCTGAGTATATTTTAGAAAAAAAACGTCTCATAAATATTATATTAAAAGTTATGGTTAAGTTGTAAAATAAAAGTATAAATTCCTGAAAATGATAAGTATTGATCCTATATAGCTAAAATAAAAAGGAATAAGCTAAAAAATAGAATTTCGCAGTCATTTGTTGTATATTTAACTTTAAAAAAGCTAGTTTAATAATTGCATCTCTTTAATTTCATAAATTATCATGCTTCCTTGTTTAGATACCAAATCCGTTTACTCTTCACCGTCAATAATGCATCTTTAAATTCTACGAAATTATTTATGGAGAAAACTGTTAAAAGTAATAATTAGGTGTGTTGCACTTAATCTGCCTTTACTCGCATCCCGCAGGATTTATATAAGTGGTTCTCAAATTATATATATAAATTTATATATAAGAGTTTATGAAGAAAACTGTTAAAAGTAATAATTAGGCGTGTTGCACTTAACTTTATATATTAATAACTCTTATATATAAAATTTTAAAATTGTATATAAGAGTTTCTGCATAGTTCAAATGGAGATACATTTAATAGCTAAATTTTTAATTAATGTCAGAATTAATAATATTATAAAAATAATTAAATAAAATCTTTAACCAATTGTACATCCTAAAGATGTCATTAGATCTTTGTGAAATAAGACTCGTTCGATACAACTTTATGGCATTATATGATTATGATCTTCGTGATATTTCTCAAAATTTATGCCTAATGACTTTTTAAAAAAAAATCAGAACGAAGCATTGTTTTATTGCTTGGTGAAATAGAAATGTGGAGGGGGGAGGGGGGAATTAATACCTTACTCTCCAGTTGAATTTATGAGGTTAGTACTCTAATCCTCAATCTATTGTGTATTTGTGTCTAATTATCATTCATTGTGAGACTAAAAGAAAAAAGCAGTTCGACTGCATCTCTATCTGCTCATGGTGGATCATAGCAAATTTCAGCTGTCTTCAATTGTCTGATCCGAACAGATGCTAGTTCCTACTTGTCTAGTTGCATCATTCCTCTGACCTGTCTAGGGATATCTTAGTACCTTATGTAAATAAGGTAAATTTCGCAAATGATCCTATGGTATTTTTTACTAAAATCATATAATTTTGTTTTCTCACACAAAAGTCATAAAACTTTTACTACTTTACTTACAAAGTCATAGTTACCGGCAGACAATTCTCCTGTAATTTTTTCGTATTCTACCTTTTTTTTTCTTTTTTTTTTTTTTAAATTCAGTCTAACAAATTATTACTCAATTCAAATATGCATTACCCGATATCCATATCCACAAATTAAAACATCCTCCAAATTCGATACTTCTCAGTTGCGTCTTTTAGGGCTCTCAAGCAAGGATCAACAAAATACATACTACTCTCTCAATTCTCTTCTCAAGCAACGGTGTTTCGAGGCTCTCAAGAAGCGGTCTTTCAGGGCTCTCAAGCCAAAAAGATGGCTTCCTCTCCATCTCAGAGGAGTACTTTAATGGACAACCATAATACTTTAGCTGCACTTAGTGACCACACAAATGCTTTTGCTGCATTAGGAATGTCTCCAAAAGACGTAAAAATTATTATTTTTTGTTTGTGTTGCCTGTGTTAGTTTGAAATTTAGTTAGCGACCCTGATTATGGGGTAGG